GCGCGGAACTCATCAATGGTTGGGAGGGGTACAAAGTCGGGCGCAAAACGTAGTCCCAGGCGTCGAACAAGTTCATAAAACGATCCCTTGAGGTCAATTTCGCAGTGATTCTGTCCGAACAATAACAGCCTGGCAGCTCGTGGTAGTCGCTGGCCTCCTATGGTGCAACAATATTTTCGTCCGTGGTTGTCAGCAGCTTTGGGGGAGTAGTCAATCTCAATACTGCAGTTTTGCGGTAGACACGGGGAGAGATAGGATTCAATCAGCTGGCGGTGATGGGGGTGGAGGGTCACGTGTTTTCGTAGAAGACCGTGATCAATACTGGGCCTCTCTACTAGAGTAAGTATGGGCTGGCTCCAGGGTTGATCAAAACTCTGAATGTGAAAGCCTCCGACCTGAAAGAGGCCCGTTGGGAATGACGGTTTAATGGACACCGGTCCAGTATTCCGATTGAAGGCAGCAGGGTTGCTCCTATGTTTTGCCAACAGGAACTGGGTGGCTTGTCCAGCCAAGTCATCTGCTATGCTGTTGGCCACTCTCGGCAGGTATATGAATAAACTACTCGGGAGATGCAGACTTACGGTTGAACGAATGCTTTCCAATGGTTGGTGCATGTCTATCCTCCGGAGACGGCCTGCAAATTGAAAGTACTTAATGACCGGAAGAATGTCCCCTTGGATGACTACCTTGGGCGTGAGGCCGCGGCTCGATAAACGTTGCTTAACGACAACAGCAACTTCTTCAACAAGATACAAACAGGCCATGATTTCTGCTTCTCTGTTATCTGAACAATGTGGCAGAGCGACTGACCGACATGCAATAACGCGAGACCGACCACCTTCTATTACATAGATGACATAGCCAGCTCCTCCTAATTCATCTTCGTGCATACAGCTGCCATCGAATTGGCCTACGATCTGTATCGAGGGTTCGGATGGTGTATCACCGGGAGGGATTGCTAAGATCAACTCATTAGGACTAATGGGTTGAAGAGCTGTCACAGTACAGTAGGAATCAGGCGAGTTGGGGCAGGCTGGTACAATTTTAGCATTAGGGCGGAATCCAGCGATCCGGGCTCGAGCTGGGGCAATGAGGCTAAGCCATGGATGTCCAAGGGGGAGCACAGCGATAGGCTGATCCGGGGCGATGAGTATAGTAGCTGTGCAAACTAGATCAGGAAGCGCTGCAGACTGGAGAGTAACTGCTTCGTTGGCGGCGGTTTGCATGTAGCACGGATGGTTTGGGTTGTCGGCGCCTGCTCGCTGGGGTCTGACGGGAGAGACAAGTTCCGGGAGGAAACGAGTTGGTATTGCTTGTAGAGCATTGTCATGTAGGCGGGTTAGCCATTCAGGGACGCTTAAGGGAACTGAAGATGGCGCATGTTGCATGCCTCCATGCTCAAGCAAGAGTCGGCGGAACTGATGCAGAATGTGGCTCGCGATCACGCATCCAGCTGTGTTGACTCGGGCTAGTTGATCCAACGATTTCACTGGATTGGGGGAAGGTGACAAGACGTTGGCAACTAGTACAGGCACTATGCAGAAACGAGCCCAATGTTGAGAGGAATTGTCTCCATGTCCGCACGCTACACAGGGGGCTAGATCTCGTGCACAGTCACGCCATGAGGCAGGAATATGAAAAGATCCCCGAACAGATTCTGCGATGGCATGCCAGGGGGATGCGGTCGGGATCCCCCATCTCTCACCGCTGTACAGAGTGGTAGCGTTAATATTATGGTCATGGCAGCATTTCTCACAAGCTGGTGCAAAATTGAGTCCACGTGGGTACAGCCGGGTAGGAATTCCACAGAGTTGGCATGGCTGCTCAGCCTGCAGTGAGCCTGCAAGTCGAAGCCTCAGGCATTCATCGTCATCCTCATTCACCGCCCACCGCAAGACAGCAAAGCGTGCAACTCCATTAACAGCAAGTTTAGGCACTGTGGCTAAATGGGTCAACCAAGCCCATGATACCCCGCCTGGTAGAAGCTGCAAGCTAACTCTAGACTGTAGATATTGCAGTGCATGCACTTGGATGGCTTCGTGAAGTCTGAGTTTAAGCTGGCGGAGGAATTGGAAGTGTTGTTTCCTGGTGTTGTGTCCTGCAATTATGCGTAACAAGTTGCCGACTGTGTCAATTCCGAGCAGGGGAATCCATGTGCGGAAAATGCGTTGGACAACCGCTCCTTGCCTTGTCCCTACATCCGGGTACCCCGGTGAGAGAAAGGCGGTAGAGCCATTCTGTCTAAGCCAATAACCCAAGCACGCTGCGGTGAGTGTGACCGCTGGGTCTAGTGCAGGAGCAATACCTAACCACCGAAATATGTGTGGGAGGTACCGTGCGGCCAGCCATGGTCTGCCAAGAATAAGTTTCGCAGAGCGTTGTTGGTATAAATTGATGTCGTCCGGAGTGAAGCCAAAGTATGTACTCTGGTAAATATTAAGGGACAGAATAAAACAGTTATTGGCAAGGCTTCTTTGCACTACAGAATGAGCAGGTGTGGCGAAGAGGGCAAGCCGATGGTTAGCTTTGGACATGGCTTTGGGGTTAATGGCATGTGTGCCTATAAGTTCCTCTACTGGGGTCCACCCTTGATGACTACGGGTATATTTACCATACAGGAGCAGACCCAGCGCTGTAGTTTTTCCCTCAATGAGGTGGGCTCCCCAGTCGGAACGTTCAAGCGCATTCAGAGTACTATGGGAGGCAGGGTGATTAACCAGTACACTGCACTTGTTGGAACAACTACACTGTGCCAGGAAGAGTGGGTCAATTTTAGCTAGATGTCCTCCGGTTAATATTAAATCAACCTCTGCTGGGGTAAGACACACAAACAAATTTGCTCGGCACACTATGGTGGTGGTGCTATAACCTGCTCTGCGAACCTAGGCTTGCCGCAATGTGGCATGTCCTGGTAAACTTTGTGTCCAGTTTAATGGAGGGTATTGGTCGATCTGACCAGAGCTAGCTGCATGCATATTGATCCCACTGGTTCGCCAGCAGTGGTGTTCATCTATTTGGATGCCAGCGGATTTCAAACGTACGCAGGCTTGCCAGGCATCCGAGAGCCATTGCATGCCTGCTGCAGTATCTCCCACCATTGTGGTGTCATCAACATATCCTTGAACTGTCAGCATGCCGGGGATTCGGTTAAGGTAGGTCCTGTTCCTCAGACTCGAGCCAAACGGGAAGCCGGGAGCGAAGCTCCAAAGAAAGGCAAAAGCCACGCGAGAAAACTACGCGAAACCAGAACCAGAAACTTAAACCAAGAAACAAAACAACAAACACAAACCTAAAACCAAAAGTTGAAAACGACATCAAGCGATCCACATGTCTGTCAACTGAATCGTGATTCACCTCACTCGCACGGACACATCTTTTTCCAAAGTGGATCGCTCTAAATCCGAGTTGTAACACTCCTAACAAAGTTCCCATCCAAGAGGTCTGGTGACATCCAGGAACATTCGTTTTCTCAAATCCATAGTCCCACGTCGAGGACCAATGGTTCCCCCGGTAGCTAGTACTCTTCCAAAATCACCGTATTTTGAGGATCCAGGGGGATCTCACAGATCTCAAAGGCAGTTTCCAGAAGTAAGAAAGCATCAGCCAGTGAAATGTAAAGGTCTTTGTGGACGTCTCTGTCATATTCTGTCCAAACCCAATCGTTGATGGATTTCAAAGCAAAATATCCTGGGTGCAGCAGAGGTCTGTGTTGGTCCCAGTCCGCTGTTTTGAGGCGTGACATAGGTAACCACTTGGTGGGTGTAGTCAAAATATTCGAAGTCTGAACCGGGTATCCCGGAAAGAAATGTTCTTCCATTTCAATCAGTGCCAACGTGGCTGCCTTCCATATGTAGTGAAGCGAGCCCAAATATGGGGCTGTGCCCAAGAGCTGCAAAATTGACTGAACAAGGGCTACAATTGCCTCCACTCGTGCAATCTTGTCGGGGCACGACTCGGAATCAAACTCCATAAAACGCAGCAGCATGGACATGAATGCGACCTCACGGACGATATCAGCCTCTGATCTTTGGACTGGCATCGAAATTGTCGGAAACCTTGGTTAAATCAGGGTGGGAAACGAAGTTCCAAGGGCGGGTCACAAAATTTCTGAGCCAGATTCTCCGACAAAAAACTAAGTCAAAAAACATGAGATCACCAGAAAAACGGAAACATCGAAGAAACTGAGACATCCGAGTTGCAGTCTGAAAAACCATGTTGATACGAAACCCTCCAAAAAAGGAGGCAAATAACAAACGACAAAGCCAGTCGAGGGTCTCCAGAAATCCATGCCAAGACGCCACAGGACGCGGGGAGAAAAGAGCGACGCGGGCGCACGCGAACCAGCAAGGGAGAAAACCACAGGGCGCCGAGACAGGAGAAAGAAGGAGGAAAGGCCACATCCCCACAGCCAGCAACCCCGACCCGGGCAGTGCAGCGGGCAAGGCCCCAAGCAAGCAAGAGCCACCAAACAAACCCCGCCACCACCCAGGCACGAGTGCCGCCGGAACAGTCAACTAGGTAAACCTAGCAAGCCTGTTCCTCAGACTCGAGCCAAACGGGAAGCCGGGAGCGAAGCTCCAAAGAAAGGCAAAAGCCACGCGAGAAAACTACGCGAAACCAGAACCAGAAACTTAAACCAAGAAACAAAACAACAAACACAAACCTAAAACCAAAAGTTGAAAACGACATCAAGCGATCCACATGTCTGTCAACTGAATCGTGATTCACCTCACTCGCACGGACACATCTTTTTCCAAAGTGGATCGCTCTAAATCCGAGTTGTAACACTCCTAACAAAGTTCCCATCCAAGAGGTCTGGTGACATCCAGGAACATTCGTTTTCTCAAATCCATAGTCCCACGTCGAGGACCAATGGTTCCCCCAACGTAGCGAGACGCGGGGCTGACTCTCACGTACTGAAGCAGGAGTGCTACACTGAGTCTGAAGCTGAAGCTGAAAGATTTTTTTTTTTGATTTTGAATTGAACACACATTTCCAATTCACCATTCAGATTTCTCAAATTTGCCCAGGTTCACATTCTGCGCGGTGGACCGCAGCATCTCTCTGTCCAGGAAACCTTCGCGTTCTTCCCAAAGAAGAGAAAGGAGATGAAAACGAAAATCTCCCCATTTACAGCCCACTCGTTTGCTCAAATCAAAGCCAGTAAAATCTTCATTTGTAAGCGCATCCGCTAGGGTGTTCTCGCCACGAGGGCGCCAACGCAAATCCACACTGACATTCTTCGTCATCAGCAACTCAGTCAACTGCATGTAGATGATGCACAAGGGCCACTTGGTCGTGAGTCCCTTACGCAGGAGGAACTGATTGGCCAAATTATCAGTACCTGCGCTGATAACCAAAGGAACCACATGTTCTGGGCTGCTCGCTTCCAAAACCCCGAATAAAACTAGGGCGACCATAACTGACAGAAGTTCCGCCGAGGTAGACGCCCACTGCGTCTCCCCGTCCTTCTTGAACAAGTAGGGGACATCCGCTTCGACCAGAGTGAGGGAGAACCATTGACCAGTCAATAAATGGTGTCCCCCCAATACAATCCTGCCAGTGGCGCATTTGGCATCCGTTCTGAACAGTTCCTGCGGAAGCACCACTGGCCGCAGGCATGAATGCATGTAGCCACAATCTTTCAACTGTAATTGCAGGAACCTCAGGACCAACATCACAAGCTTCGGGCACTTGGCCACCGTGCCTCTATCAAGGGCAGAACTCCAGGAGTACAGAGGTGCGAGGAAGGGCTTTAACCACAGAAGTACCCTGGAAACGAAACCAAGGCGGCCCAGGAACTCATTAAACCTTCTCATGTAAATCGTGCCCTTTGAAGCGAACATCTCGTCGATGAAAGAAACCAGCCAGGCTCCCCTACGTTGGGTTATGCCCAACCGGCAGGCCCTGTAATCCAGCAAATAACCAACGAAACAAACCTGGAGGCCGCCTGCAAATTTTGAATAAGAGAAGGGGGTGCCCAAAATCTCGTACAAAGCCAGGGACGTCCAAAGAATGAGAAACTTCCGTGGACCCAAGCAAGTGAGATGTAAATCATCCACGTAAACAAGCTGAAACCATCTCTCCTGCCCCAAGATGTATCCGACCAGTCGTCCGATCCCTCCAAAAAGGCGGGTCCACCAGTAACTTGCCGACGATACTCCAAACGTGCCCACAGTATTGACCCAAATGGTCTTGTCTTCATCATGCGCCCGGCACCCCAACAAGGGCCAGTCTTCTTCACGGATCTTCACCAGGCGGTGAGCTGCCTTGATATCCGCTGACATTGCAAAAAGAGACTCCTTCTCATCCTCCACCAAACGAATCATTGCGGCAGCATCTTCAGGCCCCGGGTACTGCAACTGGTCTTGAAAACAGATGTTGTTATTAAGCTGGACAAAATGCGTACCGTCATGCAACGGCCTCACATCGCCGTTGGGTTTCTTGATTGCCCCCATAGCTGCTACCAGCGGAGTGCGATCAGGGTGTTTGGCCTGCAGAGCTGAGAGAGTGGTTGGTATCATCCTTCCTAGGGCTTCCTCCTCCTGGAACTTTTTCTCCAACTCTTCCGACATCTCGCGAGCTGAACGATAGTTACCGGCCAAGTTGTTGTATTCTGATTCATCCAGGGGTCTAACTTTCTCCTTTCGGGGAAAGACATCCGGCGTGCGAGGAAGGGGCTCATCGTAACCCACTGGCACACCAGTCCAAAAGGAATCCTTTCCATGCATAAAAATCTTGTAATCGGGGTCCTCCACTCTTTCCAAAGATTGAGAAATCAAACCCAACAAGAAAGGTTGGCGCTCCGGAATCTCAAGGGCCTTCGCCTTTGAGGGCAATAGGGTTGCCCACTCCTTCCTCAAACTGTCTAAATCTTGCTCTGAAAAAGGTGAAGTCTCGATCTTCCCTAACCCCAATTTGAAAGCAGCCAATCTCAAATCTCCAAGCTTCCGCGTCACAAACTGTGAAACCAACCCAAAAACCGACTTGCAAAATGCTTGCCCTTCCGGATGGAGGTGTGCTCCACGGTCCGCAGGGTCCCACAAAGTTGGTGAGCACAAACCGAAGCCATCCACCAGTGGTTTACACTTGCCGGCCCAGTCCATCTTCAAAGGTTGGCCCCTGTGAAGATCAAGCCCTCTGTTGCCTTTCACCTCATTGGTCTCCTGTGCTGACTCCTTACCCAGTTCGCTGTCAACTGCATCTGATATCCGCGGGCTTGATTCGATGGGCTCCATCAAAGTTGAAGTTGCCTGTGGGTTTGCCTTAGTAGGCTCCTCCAAATTTTGAGTTGGTGTTGTTGATCCTGTGCTGGCCTCAGAGCTCTGGACCCCCATTCGTGAGACGATGAGGATAGCTAACCATTTGCAGTCCCGGCGGGTAAGCAGCTGCTGCTGATGTTTTCCATTTCCCTTTTTCTTTTCCAATAAGCTTTTGAATGTGAAATTTGTGGGAACAAGAGGCTGGCAACGGGCCCAGATATTTTCGCTGTGCATCAAATGTGGGCAGGCCCTGGTATGGAAATTGTTTCGCCTGCTCCAAGGATGTCACGAAACGTGTTGGCTTCGGTGACATTGCTCCGAAATGGCATTGAAATATTGCAAATGTGACAGCAAAAAATTCTTCCACCAATTGTTTCATTTCTGCCAGTTGCCACACACTTGCTGGATGCTCCCCCAAGTTTGTAACACCCAGATCCTCGGGGTGTTCGAAAAGAAAATCAACTGAATTGGCGATACATTTGTGGATCGTTTTGAAGCACTGAATCAGCAAAAAATTGTGATCTTGAATCAACTCCCAGTTGTTACCAGCTAGCCAAGGGAACCCCCAAGGGTGCATCACGTTCCTCAAAGGTGGTGGTCCAGGTGTCCCCAAGGCGCGACAACGTGCCCTTGAAAATGTGTTGCAAGGTGGTGTGAGAATGACCACGTCCCATTGTTTCCGTTCAACTTCATCCCAAATTTTTTCCCAAAGTGAAATTTCCAACAAATCGTCAGCTTCTGAACGTTCGATGTCAACTTCTTTGATTGAAAGCTCAAAACCGAGAGTGTCACACTGTACATGCAAAAAATGATTGATGTCAGCTTTCCGCTGTTGGCCACAAAAAAGATACAGCACACGGAGTTTACGCTGACAAGAATGCTGTGGTGGCGGTAACTGTCACTCAGATTTCTTACCTGAGCTGGTGATTTTCTGGTGTTCTCGTGCAGCGTGGTCACCATAGCAGCCCTTGACTCTGCATACGTGTACTCTGCCACACTTTCCGGCACAGCCTTGGCTGTTGTATGCGAAACAGATATCACGGCCATCCGGGGTTTGTGAGACAAGGTTGAGGTCTCCATGTTTGCCCTTGCCATACGACTTACCCCCTTTGCCACCGGACTTCCCAAACTGCTTTCCTTTGCCCTTTCCTTTGCTTTTGTAGCTGTTGTCATTGTTGCCCTTCGAATTGAACCTTGAAAACTTCTGCGGAGTCTCGGTGGTTGTCAAAGCCAAAGGTGTGGTGAAGAATGCCTCCTTCAAATCTGGGTCCTTTGTGACCCTTATCAATGCCTCGGCCATTGTGGCCTCTGCACGATTCACCAGTTTCATCGCTTCTCTGCGCAGTCTGTGTTCATATTGTAGCACCAGTGCCCAATTGGGCTTGACTGCCTGTTGGCCATTGTCAACAGGGACCTTGATTGCGTTGACTCGGTCCCCAAGAATGTAATCGACAAACTTGAGGAAGTGGTCCATCTTCAAACCAGCTAACCAATGCTTCGCCTTGAATTTTGATGCCATACACAACCAAGTGACTGCTTCCAACTTCATTGCTTGGCGATACTCTTCTGTGTTTGAAGGAAGTGAGCCCTTCGTTTTCGTCTTTACTACCCGCACATGGCCCGACGTATCCAGTGACGTCTGCAAGGATGCTGTGTTCTTGTGGGCCTTGCTTGTGATTTCATCCAATGAAGCGGCTGTCACTTCCCCATTTTCACATTCTTCTACCTTCAAAGCTAAGTACTCACTTGAGGGCACATCATGTTCTGAAAGCGTGCCCAAAGTTGTCTCGACCGCTCGAAGCATAGCTAGCCTTTCACTGTGCTGGAGCGATCTTGGGAGGCCCATCACTTTGCTCTCCGCTTGAAGCTCATTTTCTTTGTCATAGAGTTGTTTCCCAGCTGTCCATGCTGAGATAACCCTGGCAACCTCAGCCCTTTGTCCAACTCCTTGCGCTGCGTCAAGCTGGAAGTCAGCTTTGAGGGCCTCCCGCAGTTCTGTTGAACTCTCCGCCAATGCAACGAAAACCCTCAAGTTTTTGTAGTGTTGCCCCAGCCGATGTTGGAGGTCTAAACTCACCTCTGAATCGTCCCAAATATATTGAAGATCAGCAGTAACGTTCTTCTGCAAGAATTCACGCCTTTGGGCGTCATCAACAGCCATTGCTGCAAATGCCGGGCAACACGCCTGAGGTCCTTCTGTGAAATTAATGTTACACTGAAAGTGAAAACATTGCACATGACCGTGTTGAAAGACAGCAAACCAAACCCAAACAAAACAGTGCAACCGAAGACTCCATGCAAATGCTGAGGAAAACACTTTTCCATCTGAGTTTGTGGCCCTGAATGAGCCGCTCAAAATGAGCCGTACTGCAGTTGATTCCCAACGCCATCTCTGAAACTGACTGTGACAATTGCTCAACACATCGTTGAGAGCTTGGCTGAATCTGAAACTGAAAAAGCAAAATCACTGAAACTGACTCAAACGATTTGACAAAGAAATGACTGACGATTGACCTGAAGCAGCATCAGCAGTTTCTTTTGCGGCAGGTTGTTTCATTCGTCTGCCTCGATGCCCACCTCTGTGGGTGAAGAATCCCCAGAGGTACTGCTAGACTCTGAGTTGGCTTCGCCCTGCTCAACCTTCAGGCGTCGTTTGCAAATGGCACACATTGCATCAAAAGTTTCTTCTTCTACTCTCTCAACATCATATGTCTCCAAACAACGCTGTGTCCTTACGGGGCACTTGAAGTAGGCATGCAAACGCCTCACCCCCGTCCTTCTGGACACTGTCACAAAGTACTTTGCCTGTGGACCCTGAGTTTGAGACAAATGGACCTGCGCGTTGTTTTCTGCTGCAGCTGAGATCTCAACCTCTGGTTCCTCAGCCTCTGACTCAACCTCATCAAAAGGTCCTTGCTGTAGGTTCCGGTGAAGTTGTTGGGCATGACGACGGCGGATACGATGGCCCACCGTGTTGTGTTCATCTGAAAATTTTGCCAGTTCGTCTAGCAACTCTGACTCATCAATGCAGGCCGTCCCATTTACCAATGAGCTCATGACTTGGTGCTGGACTTCTTCCACGACTTGACGTGCCGTGTGAATGTATGCATTGCTACCCGTTTTGCCAATCGACCATCTTCCTAGAAAATCTCTCCTCTCTTTGCTAATGTTTAAGGCCAGTGCCGCCTGGTTCAAGAAGTGGCGCGGGCTGTGACCTGTCCAGAAAAGCAAGACATCGCCTGGCGCCAAGAGCATACTCATGTTTGCACGCCACAAGCCATCCTGAAACTTTGGAGTGCCAAGTCTGCCCAGTACGATGCGAATGGAATTGGAGAGTGCAGGAGGTTCAACAATCTTTGGCACAAAACCATCAAAAGCTGAGTTTGGGGCAGGTACCAAATAATCCCTTTTGTATTGAAAACTGTTTGTATTTGTAAGCTCCAGACCAGTTCCGAGCCAATCGTAACCGCTCAGTGAGATGTCTCGCCTCACAAAGACTGCAACCTGACCATGAAGTTTGCCCGGACCCGTTGTTTTTGTGCGACTCAGCCTGCAACTAAAACCTCTCTTTGACAACTTCATGGTGTCCGGCAACATGTTTTGCACGTCATCCAGTCTCATCGCAGTCCAACATGAAAGCAAAGCAACCCAGGCAATGAAACGAAAATAGAGCTCCTGTTCCAGGTCCAAAACAAACAACTCCAAAGAAAGAACCAATGCCGTAGTGTAAGGTTTCGCACACCTAGGTGGTCTTGACTCCAATTCTAATTCCAACTTCCAACTGGCGACATGTCCCAACCAAACAGGGTCATTCGAGAGTCTCTTGTCCTCAGGCACCTTTCCCACTTGTTCCAAAATCGTAAATGATGCATGCAACTCACTCACGCAGGAAAAACTGCAACCATCTTGAATCCTCTCTTCAACATATGCAATCAAAGGTGTCAATGTCTTAGGCCAAACCGTCCCTGATAGAGCCAGCAGCCAATCTCGAAACCTGTTCCAAGAGCGGAGGCGGTTTCGAAGGGTCTTTGACCTTCTTGATCCAAAGATCCTCACCCATGCCTTTCCAGGATCCTGTAACATCTCAACTTGAAAAACAATTGGAAGGCAAGCTTCTTTCAAAATCTCTGCTAACTGCAATGCATATACATTACGTTGCTCACGCTCGACATCTGCTCTCTGGGTGCCACTGCTCTCTCTCTCTTTCTCTTCAAACGACGCTTTGCTAGCTCCAAAATATAGCCAGGATTATCTCTCACAATATCTTCGAACTCTTCTTGCAAGCTGCGTCCAAACTGTGCGCCAGGATGCCTGATGAACTCAAAACTAAGGGTGCACCTGCGACGTTGCTCCCTCCTTGCATGATCTTGCATGCCATCTCTCCAGGCCATTAGGCGCACAACGCCTTCTGCCTCCAGATCTGCACTTCCATCACGTCCAAAAACCTCCCTAAGAAGACAACAGGCATCCTCTTCAGTCTCAAAGGAATGAAAGAAAATCCGTGGCTCTTTGTAAAACTTTTCCAAGTGTTCAACAAAACGTGGTCCCAAAACACTGAGTTCAGACCAGTCCATGGACAACCGACTTGCGTCCCATTCGGGATAGTTCAGCGTCCCCTACATCACAAAATTTCTGAGCCAGATTCTCCGACAAAAAACTAAGTCAAAAAACATGAGATCACCAGAAAAACGGAAACATCGAAGAAACTGAGACATCCGAGTTGCAGTCTGAAAAACCATGTTGATACGAAACCCTCCAAAAAAGGAGGCAAATAACAAACGACAAAGCCAGTCGAGGGTCTCCAGAAATCCATGCCAAGACGCCACAGGACGCGGGGAGAAAAGAGCGACGCGGGCGCACGCGAACCAGCAAGGGAGAAAACCACAGGGCGCCGAGACAGGAGAAAGAAGGAGGAAAGGCCACATCCCCACAGCCAGCAACCCCGACCCGGGCAGTGCAGCGGGCAAGGCCCCAAGCAAGCAAGAGCCACCAAACAAACCCCGCCACCACCCAGGCACGAGTGCCGCCGGAACAGTCAACTAGGTAAACCTAGCAAGCAAAACTGGATCCATGGCAACGCAAAAAAGCAGGACTGAAAAAGATCGACCCATGTCAACGCCTGTGACAATCATTTTTGAGGGTAACAACTTGCCTTGGACTTTGTGCCTGCATCTTCGAAAAAGGAGGATGTGTCGGGTATACATGATGATCCACCAGGGGGCTTTACATGCTGATAAAATTTGCAAGATCCAGTGGGGGTTAATCCGCTCGAATGCTTTGGAAAGGTCTAATGACAGGCATGCGCATGGTGCATCTTGGTCTAGAACAGCTTGAACGGATTGGACAGCACTTTGCGGTTCGCGAAAGACATTTAACACCGTTTGAGAGGGGTGGAGGAGCGGAGCAATGGCTCTGGTCATGACTGTCGCGATGCTTCCGTCTATGACTCTCTCAAATGTCGATGGCATGCCCAATGGACGGAAATTGTCAGCAGTGGGGCCCATTTTGGCTTTGGGGATCCATGCTTGGACTGAGCACGGGGGAGGGACTGCGGATCTACAGATATCATTGAGATGTGTAATCATCGCATCAGATGACACTCCAGGGTGGAGTCGCCATGCTGCATAGGGTATTCCGTCTGGACCTGGGGAGGAATCATTGGTGGCAAGGACAGTTCTGATGAGGTCTTCCGCGCCCGGTGGGGGAACATGTGGCCAGGGCTGGGCTTGTGCTTTATACTGCTCCAGGTAATCTGTCCACTCAGGATCATATTTGACAGGCGGTTGGAACCAGAACTTGCGAGTGGCGAGCATGGCTGCCGACAGGTCCAGGTCAGTCTGGCACTGGTTGCCCGCACCGTCCAGAATAGGACCATTATAAAGACAGTTCGCGGGCAGCTAGCTCGTAATCTCTGCCACAGAGGGGCATTAGTGCCCAGGCCACGACTGCGGGTAGTTTCCTCTCTATTCCTAGTGATAAGATGCTGTTGTTGTAGCTGCAGATCCAGGAGCTCGAAACACTTCCAAAGGAAGGTACGAGGAACCGTGATTACCGTGGATGTTTGGCAATATTCTTCTAGGGCAGGGCGGAAGCCTGGAAGGGCCGACAGAAGCTCTCGTAGCAACCGTTTAGAGATGTTGAGAAGTGGTCTATCAGATTGGAGATGCTTCCTTAGAGTGTTGAAGTCTCGGGGCCGCTTGGGGAGTGACATCCACCATTGCCATAATAATGCCTGAAGGGATTCAAATGTGGGCTGGGAGACTAAGCAAAGTCGGCGAACCAGCGATTGGAGTGATGGCCACACTTGTCGGGTGTCATGTCGGTCCTTACCCGGTTGAAAAACACTTGCTGGTATGGTCATATGTAGAGGCAGGTCTGAGCTACTCGAAACTGGCGGCCTGTGGCGCAATTGGATGGATATGCATGCATGCCCAGCAGACTCAAAAAGACGATCATAGAACACCTGATGTTGGATTAGCCCACGATTCATGTATTCGGTCGGAAGAATGACTTTGTCGATTGCCGACGAGCCATTTGGGCCCCAGAAGGTCGGTTCATCTTTGACAATATCGTCTCCTTGAGCACAACTTAAAATACGGTGCCAGGCATCAAGGGAAAGGTGATGACCATGATTAAAGTCTCCGACGATGAAGAAGGGGTCAGGATGGTCCTGATGATCAGATAGCCATCTGGCAAGCGTTTCACAGTCTTCTTTCGCGCTGCTAGGATGACAATATGCCGAAATCACCCAAAAGCAATCGGTTCTGGTCTGGACTTGTGCAGCAATGAGTTTGCCAGGCGTGATAACAATTTCTTGTAGTAGTCTAAAGGAGCATGGTATCAATATGGCTACTCCTCCCGACAGGCCTCCGTTTTCTGTTGCGATCGATGGGGAGTGCGCAATATTAAAGCCTGGATAGGTTTGGAGAAAGTTGGTAGCAGTACTCGCAGTCCATCTGGTTTCTTGGAGGCAGACAATGCCGTGCCGAGCCCGGCGGAGAATGGCTTGCGTCTTAGGGTTAGTCCATTGTAACGTTCTCCAACCTGATACATTCCATGTGGTTAACTGTCTGAGGCAGTACAGCAATCTTGTTTCTTTTCGAGACGATATTTGAGGACATCAGCACAAAGGAGGCTAAACTCAGAAGAGTTGGCCAGTGA